GTGGCTTTATTGGGGGTGGGGACACAGAGGGACCCCCCCCACCTTGGTCACATCGTGCAGGGCTCAGTGTCACCTGCAAAGTCCTCCGTGTCACCTGTGAAGGGTCAGCACAGCCCTGTGTCACCAGCTGTGTCACCTGAGGTCACTGTGTCACCCTCGGTGTCCCCAGGGGTTCCTGTGGGGGTCTGGCTGTCCCCTCTGTCCCCAGCCAGGTGACATTTCTGCCTCAGGAGTTGCCGGTACCGGGTGGCTGCAGCTTCCATGGTGGCCTGGAGCTCGGCCACCTCCACTGCCAGTGTCACCCCTGGGGACAGAGGGGACACAGAAGGGACCACGGAGGTCACGGGGGTCGTGACCTTTTGTCCCTCCCTCCCCAGCTTTGGGGGCTCCCCAGATTTGGGGCATTCCCCCCTTTCTAGGGACCCCCCCCCTGGTTTGGGGATCCTCGCTCTTTTTTTGGGGATCCCCCAGTTCCTCCCAGTTCCTCCCAGTTTCTCCCAGTTCCCCCAGTCCTCACCCTTCTGGAAGCTTCCCTGAGCCTGCCGCAGACTGGGGGGCACCAGGACCCCAAACCAGCCCAGGGGGTCTGGGGGTGGTCGGGTGGGGGTCCCCCCTTTTTCCGGGGCTCCCCGACGCTGCCGCAGCCCTGGGGGAGACAGAAAAGTCAGAGACCCCCCCCCAAAAAAAAACAACTCCAGAGCACCCCAAATTTTCCCCCAGTTCCTCCCTTTCACCCCCCCCAGCACCCATGGGTGACATCCCCAGACCTCCCAGTCTGTCCCCAGCACCCACTGGGGACCTTTTGGGGACCCCCCTGCCCCCCCAGGGACCACCCAGCCCCCGCCTCACCGTCACCCCCCCCCTGCTGGGGGTCGGGGTCCTCGGGGTCCCCCCCTGTTCCAGGCACCTCCTCAAAGTGGGGGCGTCCCTCTGGGTCCTGCCTGGGGGGTGACACAGTGGGGACAGTGTCACCACCGTGCCCTGGTGTCCCTTTGCCACCACAAGGACCCCCCTGCACTATTAAACCTCCCCCCACATTGGGGACATCGGTGTCACCCCTGTGTCACCTCCCCAAACTGGGGACACCCCAGTGTGTCCTCAATGTCCATTCCTGTGTCCCTGTCAACCCTCAGTGAATGTCCCCAACGTCCCATTGTCCCTCCCACTGTCCTCCCCATTGTCCCTGTCCCCCGATGTCCCCTCACCTGTGGCACACACGGACCCGGGGCACCATGGTGGCCCCGTACTGCAGGGACGAGACACGGTGACAGCCCAGGGAATAGCGGGCCTGAGCCAGGGACAGCCACCCCTGTGGGGACATTGGGGACACTGGGGACACAGCACGGGGACAGCCACCCCTGTGGGGACATTGGGGACACAGCACAGGGACACTCACCTGTGGGGACATAAATCACAGCCAGCCCTGGGGACATGGGGAGCCCCGTGGCATGTCCCCAATGTCCCCACAGTGGGTGACATGTCCCCTCAACGTGCCCCAGGATGGATGGGGTGTCCCCAGCCATGTCCCTACAGCAGGGGACTGTCCCCAGGTGTGTCCCCGCGGGGTTGGCACATCCCTGTAGTGGGTGACACCCGCCAGGTGTGTCCCTGTGGCAGGTGGCACCTCCTCACACGTGTCCCCACGAGGGATGGTGTGTCCCCGTTGTGTCCCTGTTGTGTCCCCGTGTCCCCTCACCTGCCGCAGGTGCTGCTCCAGCTGCTCCCTCCGCTGCTGCAGCAGCTCCAGCGCCTCCATCACCTCCAGCGCGGCCGCGTCCAGGGACAGCGCCAGCGACCCTGAGGGGGGACCCGGCTCAGGACCCCCCATCAACACCCGGGGGGACCCTACGAGCTCCCCCACACCCACCAAAACCGCTCCCCTCGCCCCAGGACCGGCTCGGCGTCCCCAGGGTGTCACCCGTGTCCCCGGAGACCCCCTCAGACACCCTCGGGACCCCCAAAAACCCCCCCGGAACCTCCGGCCCTCCCTCACCGTCCATCGCTGCCCTCAGCGCGGCCTCGGGCCCGGCCCCGCCTCGTCCAATCGCATCCCGCCCCGGCTCCTATCAGCCAATCAGCACGCGCAGAAATTCGAGGGGCGGGGCCTGCGTGAGGGCCGGCAGAGCGGCGAGGTGACGCCCACCCGGCCGCCATCTTGAGTGAGGGCGCTCAGTTCCCGCCCCATTCCGGCAGCATCACGCGCTCTCATTGGTCCGCCGGCTCTCGGCCAATAGGAGGCGGCGGTGCTGGGAGGTACCGGCATGTGAGGAGCGGCGCGGAGCGGAGAGGCCGCCACCATGGTGAGGGAGGCGGGGAGTTTTGGGGTCCCGTGGCGCCCTCGTGTTCTCCCCTTGTCCCTGCGTCTCCCCTGCGTGTCGTCTCCTTGTCCCCGCGTGTCCCCCATCCCTCCACGGCGCCTCCGACCTCTCCCTACATCGCTCCCGCGTTCATCCTCTCACCTCTCCACGTCCCCCACAGCAGGCCCTACCCCACTCCTCATGTCCCCCTCACGTGTCCCTCACTCTTTATTCGCTGTCCCCCATCCCTCGATGTCACCTCCAATCCCCCTTCAGCCGTGTCCCCCATCCCCTCATGGCTCGGTGTCCCCTTCCCCACATCCCCCCCCGCCGTGTGTCGCCCCCGGTGTCGCCCCCGGTGTCACCCCCGGTGTCACCCCTGTCTGTCGCCGTGTCGCAGCTGCGGCGCCAGGCCCGGGAGCGCCGGGAGTACCTGCAGCGCCGGGCGAGGGAGCAGCAGCAGCAGCGGCAGCGGGAGCGCAGGGAGAGCCTGCGGCGAGCGCTCGACGGTACCGGGACACGGGGACGGGACGAGAGAGGGGGGAAAAAGGCAGCGAGGGGGGTAAAAAGGGGCAGGGAGGAATTTGGGGAGTGGTTTGGGAAGAGCTAAGGGGTGTTAAAAGAGATTCCAGGAGTATAAAAATGGGGCTGGGGGCAGCAAAGGAGATCTGGAAGAGTTAAGGAGAGCTTGGGGGGGGATAGAGAAGAGTTTAAGGGGATTTGGGGTTGTTAAAGAGGAGTTAAAAGGGGAGACTGGGGGTGTTGCGTGCCCAGGGGTTTATTTGGGGCTGGGGGCTTTGTTTAGGCTTTTATTTGAAACGGGGAGGGTTGGGGGGGTCCTGTGTGAACCCCCCCTGTTTCTCTGCCCCCCCACAGAGAATCGGCTGCTGCCCACGGAGCTGCGGCACGAGGCCCTGGCCCTGCAGAAAGAGCTCGAGTTCGACTTCGAGGCACCGGGGGGTGAGTGGGACCCCCAAATTGGGGGGGAGGGTGGGGAGAGGGACCCCCAAATTGGGGGGGAGGGTGGGGAGAGGGACCCTCAAAATTTGGGGAGATGGAAATCCTGGATGAGGAGGGAGGCAGCCCAAAAAAAGACCTAAAAAAAAAAGAGACTGGCCCCAGCTTTAGGATTAAATTTGCCACGTTTCCCTAAATTATGTCTGGGGTTTTTTAATTCCTCAGACAAGATTAAATTCAGCCCAAAATGAGTGGGGGACTGAACCCCAAATCTGGGCTTCATTCCCCCCCACAATGAGCCATGAATTCCCCAAAATGGGAATTAAATCCACCTCGCCCTAAAATCCTCCCAAAATCTGAATTGACCCCAAGTGACCTTGGGGTGGGTGTGGCCTGACAAAGCCCCGCCCCCAGGGACAGGTGACAGCCAGGATGACGAGTACAGGTGGGCGGGGCTGGAGCCCCCCAAGGTGATGGTGACAACGTCACGTGACCCCAGCTCCCGTCTGAGGCTGTTTGCCAAGGTGGGCGTGGCCAGGTTTGGGTGTGGCCTGACCTGGGTGGGGCTCTGGGGGTGGGAGGGGCTGGGTTTGGGGTGTGGCACTGGAGTGGGTGTGGTCTGATCTGGGTGGGGCTCTGGGGGGCGTGGCCAGGTTTGGGTGTGGTTTAACCTGGATGTGGCCAAATTTGGGCACGGCCCGAGGTGGGTGTGGCTCTGGGGTGGGTGTGGCCCTGGCCCAGCTTGAGCACCTTGCCCCCATTCCCGTGGGGGCGTGGCTTCAATAAGGGGTGGGGTTTGGGGTGGGTGTGGTTTGGCAGTGGGAGGGGCTTTGTTCGGCCCCGCCCCTTGGGGGGGCTGAGCCAATGCTGGGGATGAAACCAATGAGTGGGAGGGAGCTTTGTGGGCGTGGTCTCGTTGTGGGCGTGGCTCTGACCCTAAATCCTCGAAAGGGGCGTGGCCAGAAATGGGCGTGTCCTCATCACCCCGTGTTGTGGGGACCCGACGGGGTTGATTGGGGGGGGGGACACGCCCTGTTTGTGGCACCTCGATGTCCCCACTGACCCCAGGCCGCGTCCCCGTGTCCCCCTGGCCAGGAGCTGTGCCTGCTGCTGCCGGGGGCTCGCCGGATGAACCGGGGCCGTGCCGAGCTGGGCGCCCTGGTGGGGGCGTGCCGGGCCGCGGGGGTCACCGACCTGCTGGTGCTGCACGAGACCCGCGGGCGACCCGGTCAGTGCACAATTGGGGGGTCTGGGGGTCTCA